AGTTTTAATTTCTATGGGCTTATTTTAAATGATTGAAAACTGCATCAGGAGGAATTTACATTTGATTTAGGATCATCACAAATTCATTACCTGCCTGTTTCAGAAACTTCTGTGTTTGTTTTTTTAAGAAAATTAAATCAAGTCTGGAAACAAACGTTTCTTCAGATTTTCTTTTTGTTTAAATTTATTTCAACCTGAAAAACTTAAAAATTAAACTCGAGAGTTTTCCAGACTGTGAAGGAAAACAAACTAAATAAACAACGTTTTATTAAAACTGCAGTTAAAAATAAAATGTTTGACTGAATACATTAAATATTTTTTAAATATTTTTATCCAAACCAGTTTGATCAAAATGGATAATTGCCATGTTGGTAAATTATATTTGAATAAGTCCTCAGATCTCAGTCTGGTTTCAGGATCTATACTGGAATAAAAAAAATGATAATGATATAATAATAATGAATAATAATTTTTTTTTTTTAAATATCAGATTCGAAGTCGGGTTGGGTTCTGGTGAGTTTTCTCATTAGAGCAGACTCAAAGAAATGATGTAAAACTCTGAAGTCTTCAGCATCTGTTACCATGGCAACCCTGCTGCACAGAAGCAGAACCAGGACCCTGAACATGACGTTCTGCCTTTTCCTGCTCAGAACAGCAAATCCTCCAGAAAAGACCTGGGTCCTGGTATGATTCAGACTCACCGTGGTCGATGAGGTACTTGACGACTTCCTTGCTGCCGGTCTGCACAGCGCGGTGCAGCAGCGTGCAGCCGCCTGCATCCTGCAGCAGGAGGTCCGCCCCTTGCTGGTGGAGCTCCGTCAGCTGCACCAGAACAGAACCACGTCAAAAAGGTCAAGGGTCAATAACAATCTGTTTAACGTGAAGAAAAGGTGGGAGATCCTGACCAGGAAGTGATTTAAACTGAGAACAGCTCGTAAAAACATTTACAACAACAAGTTTGACCAAACGCTGCACAACAAATAAAAACAACAACAATATAATTTCAGTTAAACAAAGAAAAGCAGATTAAAATAATCTGAGCAGAGGAAATAAAAAACTTCAGGTGCTGCTTCTCAAGAAGACGAGACATAAAGAACCAAGAAAAAGTGGAACAGAGGATTAAATACATTTTTTTCCTCTTAAACTATAAGTTTTGAAGGTTTAAGTCTCCTGACATTGAATCAACTCACCATGTCCAAGTTCTGGTTCTGGATGCAGCGGATCAGTTCTGAATCTGAAACCGAACCACAGATCAGATGAAACATGTCAGCGTCACCTGGTGGACAAACGCTGCAACAACAACCTGAGCTCAGGTGAGTTCTGATGGATCGGACCTCAGTTAGCTGCTGATCCGTTAATCAGACCGAACAGCTTCTGACTGAGATCTGAACCCCCAGGACTCATTAGCAGCAGGTCTGGACAGGTTCTGGTTCAGAAGCTTTGCTCACCTTTTTCAGCACCCAGAGAGGAAGCTGTGGAGGTTCTGTTAGAAACAAAAACAGGAAACAAGTAAGAATCAAGATGTTCATCAGGAAGACGTCAGGGAGAGTTTTAGAACCAGAACCACTTCACACCTGGGCCCACACCTGGTCCCAAACCAGATCGCAAACCCAGTCCCACACCTGGTTCCAAACCAGATCCCAAACCCAGTCCCACACCTGGTCCCAAACCCAGTCCCAACCAGATCCCAAACCCAGTCCCACACCCAGTTTCAAACCAGATCCCACACCTGGTCCCACATCTCATCCTGACATCAAACACTCAAAGAACAAAAACATTTTTTATCGTTCAGTTTGTGAAACCCAGAGCAGCAGAACTGACCCCGAACTGTGATGTTTATTTCTACACAATATGTCCAGCAGTGAGGTCATAAAAACAACAACAACAACAACAACAACAACAACAACAGCAACAACAATGCTTCTAAATAAAAATAATACTGGTGCATAAGTAAACTTTCTATAAATTAAATTTCCATTAAATCTTTTTAAGTAAGTGTTTTTAAAACTAAAAACGTAAGAACTTGAGAAAATAGTATTTTCTGAAAATTTAGAGTGAAAACAGCTAAACAACAGCGTTCAACACTAAAATGAGCAAAACTGTAGCTACACATCTAAAGCAACAACAAAAAAAAAACGCAGATAAAAGCTAAACTTTGCAAAATGATAGCTTAAAACAAAAAGTAGCAGAAGGGTAGCAAAAAGCTAAATGTAGTAAAATAGTAGCTAAATGGGTAGTGGTGGCGCAGAAGTTAGCGAAGATGGGTCTGTGATCAGAAAGTCGCAGGTTCAACTCCCGGTACAGTCAACATCAAAATGTGGGTGGAAAAGGTGAAACACCCACACCTGCCTCCACACTCATTCACCCCACTCTGGGCCCCTGAGCAAGGCACTTAACCCCCACCATCTGCTCCCTAACAGGTCCCTCTTGAAAATGAGTTATCGTGACTCAATGAGACTAACCTGTATAAATACAGGGTAAATATAAAAAAAAAAGCTTTTTTCCCTCTTTATAGTTTCTTCTCTACTTCTCTATAGATAGAGAACTTCACTATTTGGCTTTTCTATGTATGTGAATGTTTCTGCAAAGTGCCCTGAGACAACGTTGTTGTGATTTGGCGCTATATAAATAAACTGAAATGAATTGAATTCTTTCAGCTGCTCCCTACTTCAGAGGTCTCCACAGCAAACTAACTCGCACGAAGACTTGGCAATTGTTTTTACGCCGGATGCCCTTCCTGACGCAACCACAGACACCGAGCTACCACAGCCCTCTGTGTGGAACAGAGAGCTGCTCTCCTCTGGGTTGGACAGACAGACAAATGGACAGAGACAAAGACAGACAGACAGACAGAAGTCCTACCTAACAGCTGGTCTGAGATCAGCCACAGTTGAGTCGGAGCGATCAACACTGATAATCTTTGCTCCTCTCCTTCAGATCACAGAAAGGAAGCAGCAGAGGGACAAGGGGACATGGGGACAGAGGACAGCAGGAATGAAACAGCAGGATGACATCACATATGAGCCAAACGGCACACACAAAACAGCCATGATGAAAACAGGACAAGGAGCAGGTTCCTCCAGCAGGAGGAGCTCTGATCACACCGACTGAAGGATGTCTCAGACCTCCTGGACATCTAGGATGTCTCAAAGGACTTTTCAGACCTTTAGGACATCTCAAAGGACATCACAGACCTCTAGGATGTCTCGGCCTCCAAGACGTCTTGGACCTCTGGGACGTCTCGGACCGCCAGGATGTCTCAGACTGCCAGGACATCTCAGACTGCCAGGATGTTTCAGACCGCCAGGACATCTCAGATTGCCAGGACATCTTAAAGGACTTTTCAGACCTTTAGAACATCTCAAAGGACGTCTCAGACCTCCAGGATGTCTCGGACCACCAGGAGGTCTCAAAGGACGTCTCGGACCTCCAGGATGTCTCGGATCATCAGGACACCTCTTAGGTCTGGATTAGTTTTTGAACTTGTCAAAGTTTGTTCTTCACATGCAGGTTTGGAGGTTGATGGATGGTTCCTGCAGAACATGTGTTTAAGGTTCTTTTTGGTTCTTTACATTTTCATTCAAAGCAGCCAGACTTCAGAGGAACGTTGTTCTTCGTACATTTTAACCCTTTAACTCTGACCTTAGACCTCTGACCTTTGACCTCACCCAGCTTAAAAGACTCGCAGGAGGAATCAGAGTCGTGTCAATAAACCACGGACCATTTCAGGTTCCAGTCTTCGAGTCTATGATCCATTTCTGTTAGAAAACAGGATTTGACCTCCAGCAGGGTTAAAGAGCCGTTAGCTGAAGGGTGGTGGACCCTCAGGTCTGAGGTGGAGTTCTGACTTTCAGACGTTTTTGTTTGTCCTCAGTTGGTCCAGTTTGATCAGACTGATGAGTCCAGCGAAAAACTCTGAAAGACCCCCGAGTCTGAGTCCAGACCACGTTAAAAACCACAGAGCAGTCCAGATCAAAAAGAAAGAAAATATGAAAAGATGAGGACAGGATCAGGGGTTCTGGACCAGAGCAGTGGTTCTGGACCAGATCAGAAGTTCTGGACCAGATCAGGGGTTCTGGACCAGATCAGGGGTTCTGGACCAGATCAGGGGTTCTGGACCAGAT